CCAAAGACCTTACTCTATATAAAAAAAATGAAATTTCTTCATTTTTAACACAGTGAAAATTAAAACAACGTTGCTTTTTCGATTTTTTTAACCCTTAAAAAATGGTAAAACTTTAAATTAAATTGTCCCCAGCGCCCCATGTATGGTAAATTCAAAAAAAATTTTTTTTAAGCGAAATCATAGTTAATATAAGGCCCCCGAAATTATTTCGGTCTTTTTCGATCGACAATAAAATTACATTTTATTGTCTTGTTGTATTCATTAAAAAAGCTTACAAGAATTAGAATGAGAGAAAACTGTCAACATTGCGTAAAACCGGCTTTCCAAAAATGTTTTAACGAAATTACAGGCCTCAAAATTAGGATTTATTAGGAACTATAGGTACAGTCACGTGCATTGGATTAGCCACCAGGTAGCACACTGACGTCTTCTGACGTTTAAATGACGTTGAAATGACGTCAGCAGACGTCAGAATGCTACTTGGGCCATTGCGAGGTGGTGGGGTCAACAAAACTGATTTGGGTATTTCTTACCTGAACAGGTATAAGATTTAATGTTTCATATTTATTTTGATGAGTTTTGACGTTATTTTTGTAATATCTATATTATTATATTGCGAATAAGTTTATTGACACTTTAAACACTTGTTTAATAAAAAATTAGTAGTATTTTATGCCAAAAAGCCTAACTTTTAAAAAGTCTAAATTATGTATTATATCTATTTGTATTGATAAAAATTTAATAAAAAAATAATAAAAAAAATAATAACTTCATTTAAAAAACATTTATTAATTAAATTACTTTTAAAAATATAATAAAAATAAATAAAATATATGTTACTTTAAGTCGCCCCAGGGGCGCATTAACATTGTATTTGTTAGTGGAAAAACATTGGGGCGACTTGAAAGATAGAATATCATATTTTTTAGGTCCCGCTACAAAAATCGTTTTTTTTTTAAGAAAAACAGTTTTTTAGGAAAAACAGTTTCCTGTTCGGTTTGACCAGCAACTAATTTTGTGTGCTTCCATGGGCGCCGGAAGGAATTCGTCTAGGGGGGGGGCCTTAAAGTTTTTTACAATTTTGATAGATGTTATTTATAATCAAGTTGTACTGTAGAAGTTCACATTAAACTTAAGTCAAATAAAATATCATCTTTATATGTATATTTACCTATTTATTTATATTGGTACCTACATATTGCAAAAAATACATCACAGTTTTTTTGTTAATATATAAATATAAAAAAATTGTATCGCCGAGGAATCTTCTCTAGTAGTACAGCCGTCTTATGTATACGCTATACAAATTATTATAAATTAAAATATAACAAAAAAATTAAATACAAACATGAGTAATATTTTAAAAATAAGTTATACCAATAACAAAAACTTAAACATAAAAAAATGTGGTTGCACTGTAGCGACTTTTTTAGGTAATACATATCGATGTTATGCTATAGCATGACATAGAGTAGTATTAACAGGATAATTATAAGCAATTTTTGTGTGTAACACGTCTTATTTTTCGTTTTGCAACACGCCTATTAGGTATTATGGTTATTTATAATATTATACAAATTATGGAGTACCGGAATTTCTGGGTATGAATTTTCAGGGGGGACCCGGGCCCCCCCCTGCCCCTATGTAGCGGCGCCCATGTGTGCTTCCCTTTATTTTTTCTATATAAAGTTATAAACGCAATTTTATATTCATTACTTAAGTCTCTTAAGTTTTGACCCTGGCTTTCTTTTATATGTTAAGTCGCCCCTGAAATAAAAAAATACGCCACTAATAAATTTGACATGAATATAAAATTTTGGGTTAGAATATGAATCCCTTCTAAATTACTGTTCAGGAAAGAATATGTCTTTATTAAAGCCTTTTTAAGGATCTCTGTATAAAGGAAAATGTTTTAAAAAAATTAAATTTTTTTTTATGGAGGTGCACAATAAAATCAACAGATGTAAACAATATAAATTAATCTAACTAGCATGCTTGAAATTATATTTTATAGCTATATTTTGATATTCAATTTTGTATATTTAACCGTTCTAAAATTTTTTAATTTTTTGTATAAATATTTGAAAATTTCTGTTTCCGGAAAATTATTAATATCAATATTTTGGCAAATATTGTTTCTGCCATTTTGTTTTAAAAATTGGAAAAATGGAAATCTTACCATATTAAATATACTTTTCTCTAAGATATGATTTAGTTTTTTTTCTGATGGAATTATTAAATAAATTAATTTTAATATAAAACTTATCTTCGCTTTTATTAGGTAAAGCAAAAACTTGTTTTGTTTCTATAGGAAAGCACATTAAGGAAGCAATAATATATATTTCGATATTCAATTTTTAACCCCTAGATATCAGCCTGTATTTTGGTCAAGCGCTGTAAAGAGTTTCAAGTCAAGTATTTCCTTTTAATTTATCTTTCTTATTGATTGATTAATTGTCTTGATATTTGCGATATATTTTGCCCTTATTATGCAAAAACGTAATTTGCATACGTGTTTCATCAGAAATATGCCGCTCTATCGTAAAGAGTTTTCAAGCCGTGTAAACATAGAATAAACAAATGAAACATGAAAACATGGACTAAATATAGAAACCCCCAAAGGGTATATCGCAGTTGCCTAATGTGACCTTGGTTAAGACACAGAAGAAGTTAAGGGGTGAAGATTCTAGAGTAGACCGAGCATCGCAAGCGATTTTTGAATGGGCTTGCCACTGAGCTATTGCACTCGACTGTACATGACTGCTGGAAAGATATTAATCCAAATATTGTATTGCGTCAATCCCAAATAGATTGGCTCAAGTAATAGAAAAAACTGGGATGCATGTCTAAATATTAAATATTAAGTTTTTTTTTCATTTGTAATAATAATTTTTGTAATATTATTTATTTAAGCTACGACTTCAATGCTCTTATAACCTATAGTAATTTTTTTCCTACTCCTATTATGGAATTTGACCCTTCTAATATCACTTTTATTTATGGAATGACATATATTCCGTAAAGCGTTACAGAATGAAATCATCTGACACTCGTGGCGACATCTCTGTTTTTAATATCTAACAAATTTTAGACCGATCCAACCTCACTTTCTTCCAATTACCTAAATTATTTTTCTATGGTATTTTTTGGAAACGTAGAAAAAATATAGTCTGAAACACGTTTGGAATTGCATATTCCGCTCTCGTGAAACCGTCAAACTCTTCACTCGAGCGGAATATGCTGTATTCCAAACTTGTTACAGAATATACTATTAATGACATTGATTAGCTGATTTTAAGCAATAATATTTTTATGACAGTTTTCTTTCATTCTAATTCTTGTACGCTTTGATAAATACCACTGTATAATAGTAGTATCCAGAAATTCACTTAGGTGAGTTTTCTGTTGAGTGGAAATATCTTAATTCATAAGCGTAGCAAGAAAATAAAATTTTCACTTTTCATTCAGCATTAATTAATAAAATGAAAATTATTAATCACTATAGTTCCCCCTCGTATACTGACGTCGGTGAGATAGAGGTTCTCCTTAATAGTAGAAAACTAGTACTTTTATTTACGATTTTCTTTCAACAAAGTATGCTATTTTCCATTAATAATACGAATACTACATAAGTATTATTCAATTAAAACAATATTTTAGTTTATGTTGATAAAAACTTTCGAACTGCAGGAGTACCAACTATTTTACTTTAAGCGAATGAATATTTTTTTTTATACAGGTTGTTTTAAAAATAGAACGTATCAAAAGTTAAAAAGCTTAAATTGTTTAATTTAAATTTTTATATTTTGACACAAACTGTCAAAAAATAAAACTGAAAAACATGTTAACTTTAATTTGCTGGAATATCTGTTTTATAAAGGGTGTATCAATAAGAGCGCAAGATTTCAAAGTTTAATATAACATGGTTTTAAGTATTAAAGCTTTAAAATATTTATTGATTTATAAAGTACACATTTGGAAATTATGTATAAAATAACACATCTGGTAAATGGCCACCACGGCTTAACTGGCACATGCGTATTCTTTTGGAAAAATTTGGAATAACATTATTGAATACATGTGGGGGTATTTCGTTGATAGAGTGTCTAATTTTTGCTTTTAAGGCTTCGATGGTGGCGGGCTTGTTGGCATAAACTTAATAATAACTAATAGTGGTGAAAATGGGCCTCATCACTGAAAATGATTTTGTCCGCAAAATCGGCATTCACTTCTTGCTGCTTAAGGATCCAATTGGTGAACTCTCTTCGCTGTTCATGGTCTTTTGGCTGGAGTTGTTGAGTAAATTGGACTTTGTAGGCATGAAGATGCAAATCTTTAGTAAGAATTCGCTGAAGGGTGGCTTTTGTAATGTCCAATTCTTGTGCACGATGGCGAATCGACGTCTCTGGACTCTCGGCCACACTCTCGAGAACTGCTGCGATATTTTGTTCTGAACGACCTCTACGAGCTCGTGTCGTGTGTTTCACATCACTAACCGAAGCAGTGCTTTCGAATTTTTTAATTATTCTTTTCAGGAGATGAATTAGGAACATTATTTCGAAGAAATATTGGACGCTCTTTACGAATCGTGCAATCAAACTTTCATCATTTTGATAATAGTGTTTAACAATCAGGACGGGTTGTTCTATCGTGTAATGCTCCATATTTACTAACTCCCATCTGTCTCCTATCAATCTGTCATGTCATTAATCATGTGACATCATGGTTACCAAACTGAGGCGAAATTCAAATCTTGCGCTCTTATTGATACACCCTTTAATAGAATAGGTTTTTGTAATTTCTTATTTTTAAATTAACCTTTTCTATCGCGTGGAATGGTTTTCGTGCGCTATTTTCAGAATAAGTATAGAAAATATCAACAAAATAAAAATTTATTTTGTTATCAAATTCGATTAAAATTTTATTTAATTACCTTTGAATTTATGTTTACAAGGTAGGTAGTTTAAAGTTTTAAAAATTAAGAGTTAAATATTAAAAACTTAGTTGACTTGGCTTGGATCGTTATGCTGCCCCACCTTTATTTGAAAACAAAATAAAACAAATTTATTTTTTAACATTTCTCTTACCACACATGTTCCTGAAGACCCATCCAAACGTCCTGCACACATATGGCCAGAACGAATATTCACAGAATGTCCATACTTCTTCCTGCAGATAGCATTATCGTGCACGGGAATTTTAGCTTCTAGTAGCTTTCCTGCAAGCATTCCATCCTCAGAGTCTCGGCCCCACCCTGTTGCTATACAGAGATCGGTCTGGTTGTAAGACAATCTCTTAGTCGGGAGACATACAGCTCTTATGCGGCTGTCTCCTGCTAACTTTACTGGTCGTGACAGACGCATCAAAGCTAAAAATAAAGTTAAAAATTAAGAGTAGCGGAACTGTTCAAAATTAAAAAGAATACTATAAAAAAGGATGGAGTAAAAAGGCCAAAATTTTAGGATTTTAGGTTCTTGAAGTACTATTAACTACCTTTAAAATGACACCATTCACAAGTAATTATCTCCCTCCTATAAAAAGTTACAATACCTAAAAGTTTAAAAGTGGACTATTATATTTGTGATATATTCATTTTTTATGTTAACTTAACTAATTTTTTTTTATTTCACGTTTTTGGATAAAGATGGTTTTATAAACCAAAGCTAGTCGTTAATAAAAATGATTAACCAAGCAAGGAAGCATATATTAACATCCTATAAATGTTGTTAAAATGGATTATCAAAGGGCTTCAAAAAACGTCTTTTGGAATTTCCTCGAGCGCTTCCAACAAAACCGCGGTGACCATTTAAGTTACATTGTTTTCATATTTCATGTTATCTTTTACACTAAATAATTTTTTCATTCAAATACTACGTTGAAAAAAATAGAACTAAAAGTTTTGTCGACGGTGTTCCTTGATTTTATCCTTCATTAGATTAAAAGGAAAATTGGACGTGGTTCTGCAGGAAACAACCAACCCACAAACTAAAAAAAAGATATTTTGTATGGTAACAGAGTCTATTTTATTCAGGAAAAATCCCTAAACAATATTTTAACCCTTGGTTTTAAAAATAAACATTTTAAAATATAGCTAGTTAATTTATATGGAACTTGGTCCAATTGTAACTTGAAATATGCTTAAAAAAAATTGTCTTGTGTTGGTACAATTAGTAAAAATATTATTAAGATCTGTCAAGTATTAAAATGGTTCTCATTGAGGTCGATCTACTTTTGCGATCGTATAGGTACGCTATAATGCATAGAATGTTGAAAGGTCTCCGATATATATTATTTCACCTGTAAATTCCAATTTTTATTGGAAATTTTTACCAGAAATGTATACAATACATTATTTTCAGCGTGTTTAGGAGCAAAAAAATTAAAATTTCACTAATAGTTTTATATATATAATGGCGTTTAGCTTACTTAAAAGCTATTTACCAGCTCATTATGTTTAAAAAAACATGACCACGGGTCTCAATTTGATTATTCTTCATATACTTTATATTCATTTTTGCTTCACTATCTTCCCATATACATCTTGTTACATATATATACCTTTTCCAATCATCCACATATTTTTTCTTGTACACTCAGAGAAATATCATGTCATGAAATGCATATGAAATTATATTAATTTAAATAAACGGGTAAATTTGATTCAAATAGAAAAAAAATTAGTTTTATATTTATTTACCAAGAGTTTTACAATGTTTTTAAAAACTTTTAAGGTGTACCCTCTTTAAAATATATATACAAAAAGAAATCTATTTATTTCATTGCCTTCCTCAACGTTGTTTCAAATTGATATGTATTATACAATTGTTATACACTTATTAATTTAATGGGACACACCAATGACGCCAAAACATATTTGAATCCCTTTGAATTATTATCGTTTTAAATGATTCTACAACATTTTTTCTCTCAGTGTACATTAAAACATTTCTTACCAGTTTGTTTTCAATAATAGGTACTTTTTTATTGTTTAACCTCAATTTTATAGTTCTATTTACATGAAAATAATTTCTTAAAATATTTTAACAAGCCATCGTATTAGTTATTTTATTTATCGTCCTCCCAAAGAAGGAAGATATTTATATTGTAGGCAGTGTTGCCAAGTCGGTGCATATTGCACTAGATCTGGTGGATTCAACCTCCATCTAGTGCCCGGAATTCGATTTTGGTGCGCTAGTACAAAATCTAGTGCATCATCGATCAATCATTAACCAAATTTGGTAAATAACAATAAAAAGGCGCTTAAAAAATAATTTTATTACAACTCAGCCCCAGCCCACATTTCTGATTCAGAAAATCTAAATACGCCCCTGTCCAACAGTCCACCATGCTGACAGCCGTTGTGTTGGTAGCATATACCTGGTGGTAGTACTGCGCTGCCGCTGCTCTGCGATTGGCTTGTTTCAAACAAGTTGTTTGTTGAATTCTTTCACAGAACTTCTGTTTCGATGAATTTTCTAAGTTTGTTTCAAATAACACAAGAAGTCTAGTAGGTTACAGAATATACTATTCCATGGTATTGTCTAGTTCTCCAGTGATTAATTATCAGCGCTTTATTGTTTTTATACTTTTAGATGCCGAAACCACAATATAAACAACAATTTAAAGCTGTGTGGCTAAAGGACCCTGCCCTAAAGCATTGGCTTACCAGTGTGGAAAGCACATCGGGCACCATGGGGAAATGCAAAGTTTGCAATACAATTTTGGTTAACAGATGTGCTGATTTGAAAAGGCATATGGACTCAAAAAAACATAAATACAATGAAAAGATTATATTTGGTCCATCCCAGCCGAAACTTCCATTAAATCCATTTTGGTTAACAGATGTGCTGATTTGAAAAGGCATATGGACTCAAAAAACATAAATACAATGAAAAGATTATATTTGGTCCATCCCAGCCAAAACTTCCATTAAAAAAAAATCCGAAATTCAAGAAGCCAAAGTAGCAGAAGCAAAGTTAGCATTGTACATTTGTGCTCATACATCAATTTTGCAAATTGATCATTTGAATGATTTATGTAAAGATATTTTTAAAGGATGTCCAGCTGGAAATAACCTGCAGATTCACAGAACAAAATGTTCAAACATCATAAAACATGTTTTGTCCCCACACTTCCAAAATGAATTAATGGAAGACATTGGTGATTCCCCATATAGTCTTTTGATTGACGAGTCAACAGACATATCAGTGCAGAAATTTTTGGGAATTATAATCATATATTACAGTAAAAAACAGAATAACATAATTACTTCCGATTTTAATGCTGATGCAATTGTAAATGCAATCAAGCAAGTATTGCATAAATATCAACTTAAACTAAAACATTTATACGGGATTGGAAGTGACAATGCTTCGGTCATGACTGGAGTCAACAATGGTGTACATGCAATAATACAACGAGATGTCATAGTCTTCAGTTGGCAGTATCTGCTGCTGCAAATGAGTAGAATTTTTGGTCAATAAAGTTACTTTGCCTTACCACAGTAACATTGATATTTTGCAAAACAAAAAGTAGAGGACTATATAGACAGATCTGCTATTTGAGATTTAAATTTGAATCCACTATACAGAAGTTGAAAGACAATAACAATTTGAGTTTGAATGATGAGAATATGTTACGTGAGAGAGCTATTAAATTTGTGGTTGCCTTAATCAATCAAATTAAAATGAGACTGCCTAAAAATCTTGAAATATTGAGAAAAGTCTTATATGTCAGCGCGTAGGAAACGCTCTTCGTCATGATAAACCATCTTTATTAACACTTCTACAATTTTTCAAAAAAACTGATCAAGAAATTGAGCTTATTGAAAACAGGTGGGCAAGCATTCACCTACTTAAATGAAAAGAAATCAGAGACACTAAACAATTTTGGTGTGAAGTGATAAACTTTAAAGATGCGATATCTCTATTAGTACTGCCTCATTCAAATGCAGAAGTTGAGAGACTTTTCAGCCAATTAAACATAGTAAAATGCAAATTGGAAAATCGACTAAAGGTTGATACTGTGACTGCCATATTGACCGTTAAGGCTGGACTGATGAGGTTTAACAAATGTTGCTTCAATTTTTAATTGCCCAATTCAGTCATTAATAAAATAAAAACCATTGAAACCTACAAAGTTACTGATGGCGATGATGAAGAGTTTTTAAATGATTTAGATGTAGATATCAAACTCTAATTAGATAGTAAATAATTATTATAACTGTTATTTAAAATATTTACCTGCCAAAGATTGATATTATTAGAGTAACTTTTTAGTTTTTTTGAGGTTTGTGAACAATAATTATTTATGATTGTTATGTTATGGATATATATTTATAACATGTTACTTAAAATAGTATAAAATACTATGCTTAATAAAGTTTATTTTTGAAATTATTTCATGGTTGCTCATTCATACATTGTGTTCATCTGGAGTGAAATTCAGACTGATTGGGTGGATTTTCACCTCTGTTACCATATTCTGTCAAAAAAATGCACTCGATTTTGTTTGAATATACTTTAATTACAATAATGACACAATCAACAATACTTAAATAACGTCAAATTGACATTTTGCATTGTATCTTGTGTCATTTTTTATTTAAGGTAAGTTTAAACAAAATCTAGTGCATTTTTTTGACAGAAAATTTTTCACCGAAGTGAATTTGGTGCTTTTCTAGTGCATTTTTCATTGCTATATAGTGCATAGCTACTTCAAGCAGTTGGCAACACAATTTGTAGGGCTGTTTTATTAAGCAACATGTCGGTTTGGCACACAAAACTGTTTGGCCTATTTTAAGATTGGGAAAAGCGCTGATACATGTTTATTGCCTTACCTTAAATGGTGATTACTTTAAAGGCAACAAAAATAATAATTATAATAATTATTATTTTTGTTGCCTTTATACAACGAAAAAAATCGAACTATTTTCGTTTTATTTACGGCAACAAAAAAAGTTTTTTTTACTCTCAAGAAATATTTATTATTATTTTGAATAAAAGTATAAATTATACAAGGTGTCCCTAAACTTAGTGGCATAAATTTAGGAGCAGATTAAGCAAGTCAAAATAAGACAAAAATCTAAATAAATATTTTTCCTAATTATGTTTAATATAAAGTGTTACTTATCATTTCAGTTTTTTTAATATAACTTCTACTGTGGTAGACTTGAAAAGGTGATATTTTGCGAACAGTTACTTACTACCAAAACACATATTCACACATAATTACAATTGTTCGAGTAAACACAGCGTCGTAGAAACAGGGGTTGCTTAATCTTATTGTCCCATACAAACTTTGAGGTTAGGTTTTTATCCCATTTGATGCAATTTTTCGATTACTCGGCTACTATTAAAAAAGGTGTACCTCTCAAACTTCGATAAAATAAACCGTTTCCGAGATTTTCGAGATTTCAATAATTGTTATATCGCATTAAACGACTAGAAGGTATATGATAACAAACTTTTTAATTGAAAAAACTACAATTTTTTTAATGTGACGGTCAGGGCAAAAAGTCCTGAGGCTCATGGAATGCTCTTTTTAGTTTTTTCAATAAAAAAATTAAATTTCTAATCATATACCTTTTAATCCTTTTAAATAATGCGATATAACAATTATTGTAATCTCGAATATCTCGGAAACGGTTTATTTTATCGAAGTTTGAGAGGTACACCTTTTTAATGGTAGCCGAACTTTGTTATCTAAAAATTGCATCAAATGTTATAAGAACCTAACCTCAAAGTTTGTATAGGATAATAAGCTTAAAGCAACCCCCGTTTCTACGACACCGTGTTCACTCAAACAATTATAATGTAGCGAGTACCGCTCTGGATATCGGAGTGATGACTCATCGCCGGTTAGTCATCGCCGGTGAGTCATCGCCGGTGACTCAGCACTCGAATAATCGAGAGTGTGGAGCTCGCTGGAATGTTCCAGAAGACTTGGGCGCTAAATATATAAGAAACGGAGCAGCACAGGGCAGTCAGTTGAGCTTTGGTACCCGCGAAGAAATAAATAAATATAAGTGCAAATAAATAAATTAGTAGTGATATAAATAATTAGTAGTTAAGTGTTTAGTTAGTTTAATAGTGTTTTAAGTGTAGTTAAGTTATTAAATAAATAGTTTAGTTCGTTAATTAACCAGTGCGTGTTTTAATTCACACTACGAACAGTTAAAAACGTTACAATAATTATGTGTGAATATGTGTTTTCGTAGTACCCGCGAAGAAATAAATAAATATAAGTGCAAATAAATAAATTAGTAGTGATATAAATAATTAGTAGTTAAGTGTTTAGTTAGTTTAATAGTGTTTTAAGTGTAGTTAAGTTATTAAATAAATAGTTTAGTTCGTTAATTAACCAGTGCGTGTTTTAATTCACACTACGAACAGTTAAAAACGTTACAATAATTATGTGTGAATATGTGTTTTCGTAGTACTTAAGCGACTGTTCGCAAAATATCACCTTTTCAAGACTACCATAGTAGAGGTTATATTAAAAAAACTGATATGATTAATAACACTTTATCCCCTGTATCGTGGAAACATAAGTGATTAGAAAAAATATTGGAGACAATTATGTTCATCTTTATTAAAAGTGCTTATATTTCAAACACCGGAATTTTTTAAATGTTTTTAGAGATATTATTTATGAATTTATAAAATTTAAATGGACTTAAATACTTTTTTATTAAAAATACCCTACAACTTTAATTTGTAATTTAAAAAACTATTTAAATAATTATAATCCGTCGCTGTTATTGTATTGTAAATTATTTTTATTTAATTTAAAAGGCATTGTCCTTAAATACATCATAATTTTAAGAAAAACAACTAATACGTTGAAAAAAAACTCAAATTTCCCCTAGATTCTAGATTTAAAAGGATCTGTAGGTACTATTCTTATGCCCAATTTATTTTTTAGCATTAACCAGGTATTGAAGCCGCTCGTATTCACCACCTTACCTATGTCATGTTGAAAATTGTGAAATCTTTCATGTAGAATAATTTCTTCAACTGGTATCCTCTCTTCAGACTTTTCTTCCACGTCTCTATCCCAGTCTCCTAATACAGCCGTCCACAAAGCAGCTAGGGGTAAATTAAACAAATCACTAAAACAAAGAATTGATTAATATTAACGAATGCCAAAAAAATCTTTTCATTTAAAAGCTTATAAATAATTTTTCTACAAAAAGCATCCCTTAAATACTTGTGTAGCGTGTTCTTTAAATTATTGAAGGTTCAATTAACAAGGTTAACTTACAAGGATAATAAATTAACAAGATTAATTAATTAACATTTGATAATAAAATAAACCGGCGTTCTTCAAATTTAATGTATAAAGCATGCAGGAAGAAATTTGCATAAAACGGTTAACGATATCAAAAATTAAATAATTAGTGTAATACGTATACCTAAATAGATAATACTTGGACAGTCTTTTAGGTTTGGTATATTAGTCCTTTAAAAATTTGTGGAATTTTAAAAATATTTATGAGAAATATGTTTAAAGTTCTTAATTAAATAGGTAACTTACGTACAACAAAAAAAAACAGTCAGTCAATGGAAGATTTCAGATTTCAGCTTGCGCATGAAGGAATCTCTGAGTTTTCCATTTAAAAAAAACCCAAAGCTAGTAGCAACCTTGCCTCAAATGCGTCATAGGGTATAATATTATAAACAGATAAATTTCAAAGCAACATTTTTAAAGGTCATTGATTAATTTATAATTAGCAATACGAAAAATAGGGATCCGGCACTATAATTATTACATAAACATACATAACCAAACCTATATAATACTTATTTATTATTTTATTTTAATTATTACTTATGTTCATAAATTTATATATAAAATAGCCAATGGCTATTAGCCATATATATATACTCGTACTTAAATATTTATTTTAATTTATTTTTTATATATATTTTTTAAAACTATTCTTAAATAAATTAAAAAAAACATAACTATTACATCCTTGAGGTGGGCTATGCGCAATAATAATGTTATAAACATATAAAGTTCAAAGCAACATTTTTGAAGGTAATTTATCAATTTAAATTTGGTATTATGCAAAAAATATTTTATTGCAAAATGAGGATGTATTATTATTCATACATCCACATAAATGCTCATAATTTACTATAGGTACTTTAATAAATTAAAAAAACATAACTATAGCATTATTGTGGTGGTCTATACGCAATGCGCGCATTGCGTATTTCTAATGTTTTCATTACTGACCTGACGCTTGAATTTTTCTGTTAATACTATTTTTACATTATATTTATTGAATTTAACTACGCTACATTGGTTTAGTTCACAGACAAAATAGACTTGCCCTGTTCAGTATCGCTAACATGAAACCAGCTTGCTAGAGGTGGGAAGTTTAGTTCACTTTCCTGATTTCGATCTTTCGATCTCGTTCATTAAATTGAATAGTACAAAAGACTAGTTCGTTTAGTTCACTGATTTATAATCGGATTTACGTAGTTTCGTTCGCGAACTACACTTCTCTAGTAGTTCAAGTGAACTATATTGAGATTGATTGATTAATTTGCACCAAAGAAGTGTTCTTGGAATTGCACTTGCTGCTGGTCAAAATGGTACGCTGTTGCCAAGACCATTAAGTGGTTGATTTGGTTGCCTATTTTAGGAACGAATTTGCGTGAAAAAAAATCCATTAGTAAATACGGATATAATGAAATATATCTACGGATTTTTAGTTTAGTTCGAATTGATTCGCTCTTTTTAGTTTTGGTGATTGAATCTTTTAGTTCAGTTACGAAATTCGATCTTTTGAACTAGTTCGTTCGCGAACTACACACCTCTACAGCGTGCCATAAATCGGGGAAGGGGGGCAAGGGAATGTATACATTATATTATATATTATATAAGAGAAGATATGTATTCTGCCAGGCCCGTATTATATAATTTCGTACGAGCGGTATCTTTTTAAAAAGTATTAAATTTATTTTGTTTTATATTTATATAACACGAAAAAACGTAAAAATAATTAAATAAATTATGTATTTAAACAAATTTTAATGTAATCCTTAATAAAAAAAAAATAAAAAAATAGAATAAATTATAAATTCTCTAATCAAAAAAAAGGCAAATTAAGCTCTTAAAATAAAAAAAAATTAAAATTCTGAAAATTTTAAAATAAAAAACTGAACGAAACAGACCAATTTCGCTAAAAAGTCAGAATAAATAACTCCAAATGAAATAAATTTCCACTAAAAGTGAAAAAAGTATTATTTTAATATTATATTTTATTTAAAATATTCCTAGTGGATTATCAAAGAAATTCATCTAGTTTTACGCTCCAGAATGAACGACCCACGGCTCTGTGCAAGGAGAGAACAACACAACATCTGTGTGCGCACGCAAGGTATTGACATGCAAAATTAATAAAATCGCTTAAAATTTATCTCGTAATTACTACTTACTGGAAAAAGGAAATTGGTTGGAATTGGCTGGAACTAGTTTCACTACGACTAGGACACACTTTGACAACACATTTACCCATAATGTTCAAAGAATTACATAAATAATATATCCTCACAGGTCAACTGCTCAAATATGAATGATGCGAACTGGAAAACAGGCACCCGTTCAGGCACCCGCCCGGCCGTATCATTTTCTCCCTTAGGCAAGTCTATTTTGTCTGTGGTTTAGTTCAAGTCGTAGGTATTAAAAACTTTAGCAATAAGTAGTGCTGTCACATTGACTTAATTTAATAAAAGGTCTTAAAAGGTTCCAGTTTTATTTTGTCCGATTCAAAAAAAAGGTGAAAGTATTTTACAGAACCAATTAAAACTTCAAAAGGTTATGGGCCCAGATCACGTGAAACTATGAAATAGAAGTGAATTTCTGCGACATTGAAAAATTGTGCAAAGCAAGGAAAGTGACAATTTAATTGAACGTTTGAAATCGTGCTGCAAAATTTAAAGGTAGTGTCTCCCCGACCGTCGGACGGACGTAGAAAAGTGTGTGCTCGACCGTCGGACGGACGTATAAATGTGTGTGCTCAACTAGGGTTGCCACCTGTCCTCCTTTGTGGAGGACAGTCCTCTTTTGATAACATCACGTCCTTCGTCCTCTTTTAAATAAAATATGTCCTCCTTTCTATGTATTTTATTGTGCTCTGAACATTTTTCTCGGTAAACCAATAAAATAACAGGCTTAAGCCTTGCAATTGCAAACAATAAAAAATGATGTTGGCCGGTATCTGTATAGTTGGTTGCCTAGTGCTTTTTAAAATGCGTTATGAATATTCACTCAGTGAATTTCACTGGGAAAGTCCCAGTGGGAATGTTCTTAGATGGTGCTTGGAAGTTTTAGAGGATCATTCTATGGAATATTTCCAATAAATATTCCTAGAATGAAGCGGATTATTCCTAGATTATAGGGCATATTCCTGGAATATTTTCGCACCTTCATTGCAGTCTGGGTTATTTACTAGATACCTATGTTATTATTTTTATCTGACTGCAACATATTAAGTAGTTTAATGTTCTAGTTAATAAAGTTAATATTGCAAATGTGCTTGGAAGTTTTAGAGGATCATTCTATGGAATATTCCCAATAAATATTCCTAGAATGAAGCGGATTATTCCTAGATTATAGGGCATATTCCTGGAATATTTTCGCACCTTCATTGCAGTCTGGGTTATTTACTATGTTATTATTTTTATCTGACTGCAACATATTAGTTTAATGTTCTAGTTAATAAACTTAAGTTAATTAATATTGCAAGGGATCGGTCCTTGGTCATTTCTGTTGTACTTGTTTTGATTTTGGCAACGGCCCCTTTTTTTTGGTAAAATTTTTTGAAGCGGGCTTTTAAAAAATGTCCATGTCCTCCAACCCCAAGCTTAAAAGGTGGCAACCCTATGCTCAACCGTCGCATATTTTAACCTCATTTTCAACGAGAGGCTAAATGTAGCAAAGTATTCCTCAAGGTTATGACGAATAGCTGTCATTTTGGTTATGCAGGTACACTGAATTGTGCCATACCAAACTAACCCAAACTAAACAACCCAACCCAACCGACCCCGCCCCATTGGGCCCCTCCCGCCCCATTGTCACAATCCAACCTGCCCTTAGATATATTATAGGTACCTCTATTGCTCAATGGGGCGGGAGGGGCACAATGGGGTGGGGTCGGTTGGGTTGGGTTGTTAAGTTTGGGTTGGTTTGGTTTGGTATGGCACAATGCAGTCTACCTGCATAACCAAGATGACAGCTATTCGTCATAACCATGAGGAATACTTTGCTACATTTAGCCTCTAGTCATTTTCACACGTTTGTACGTCCGTCCGACGGTTGAGCACACACATTTCTACGTCCGTCCGACGGTCGAGCACACACTTTTCTACGTCCGTCCGACGGTCGGGGAGACACTACCAAATTTAAATCAGTGAATTTGTGCGATTCTCATTTTGTTTTGCGCGGTAATTTTTCGGAGCGAAAAACTTTTGATATCGGGCGGACGGAGCAAACGAAATTTTTTTGATACACAGTAAGCCAAAACTGAAATTGAAAATAATATATTCTGGATTTTCGAGGTTGGCGACCACAAATAAAAAAATGGAAAGTGAACGAATTGCTATTAAAAAATTGGAGGACGTTTACAATTGGCCGATGTGGAAGTTTAAAATAAGGCAAATTTTGGAAGCAGCTGAACTTTTCGACTATGTCGATGGCACAATCGAAAAACCATCTGTTGAAGCCACAGATTATGCACAAAATATTCTGACTTGGAAAAAGGCGGACCCAAAAGCAAGGCGAACGATTTCAACAACATGTGCAAAGCAGTCAGTGCGATTAATTATGAACTGCGCGACGGCGAAGGAAATGTGGACGGAGCTCACAAGTACATATGAGCGAAAGTCAGAAAACAGCACATATTTTCTTCAGCAGAAGTATTACAACTTCAAGAAGGAACCGTCAGACGATATGGCAACTTTCATATCAAAATTAATAGAAATTGTACAGCAATTGAGAGATCAGAATGAGGTTATATCTGACTCAATGGTAATTTCAAAAATTTTGAATACATTGCCTGTTAAGTACAATCATTTTAACAGCTCATGGGAATCTGCT